CTGTACCAGGAAGAGTAGAAGTCGTGGTGTGGTGTGCACGAGTCGTAGTGCGAGTTATTCCAGGAGTTAAGGTAGTGTGTTGGTTGTACCATTGGTGGCGGTGGTGGTGTGGGCTGGAGATTACCTGAAGGGACGTGAGGGGTTGTATGTTGGATGTCCCAGGTGATTAAGAGGGGAGACGGACCTAATACCACGGGGAGACGTTTTTAATCGCTAATTAAATTCCCTCTGGACCACGCTGCGGTCCAAGAGGATATATATCTTTAGCGTGCGAGTTCTTGTGTAACATGGGAGTTTGTTCAGTTTGTCCTCGAGTGTGAGGGGGGACGCTAAGTGCGCTCGAAGCTTGAATTTCACCCATTTCCTAGCTCCTCTTTGTATTTTAAATCAGTTATTACGAAAAGAATTTTGAGTCCAGCGCAATTTCATCATATGATGTGCTCGATAAAGTCAAATTGATAACGCAATACACTTGAATTCTGACTGTAAAGAATCAACATTTTTAACCATAACAGTTTACTATTTAACCTAATGGTAAATGACTCCCAAAGTGGTTTACAAAGCCACCAAACAAGGTGGTGGACTTTTTGTTAAGATTGGTGCAGCTTTCTGATTACGCAGACATTAATGAGACAAACACACACCTTATATTTATTTTAATCATCATTAAAAAAGCCGCGCTCTATCAAATTATGTCAGTTTTCCGACAAGAAAACATCAAACAAACAAGTGTGTTTACTGCATATTTTGTCGCCATGTAAACATTACAATAAACATTTAGCCAAGAAAACTCGTTCGTTCTTTTCCAGACCTCGTTCGTTCCCTTGCCGAACCTCATTCGTCCTCTGAAAATTTTCGTTCTCCTGCTGAACTTGCCCTCTGCTTGACCTCCTCCGACCCCTGCCGAATATAATTCGTCCAATAACTGTGACCTCTCTCGTCCTCTGCGTGACTTCGGTCGTCCCCCATGCCTGACTCTTTTCTCCCCTCTCTGACCTCATTCGTCATTTGTCTCACCTAATTCGTCCCTTACCTGATCTAGTTTGTCGCCTGCCCGACCTGTTTCCCTGCATGTTATTACTCCATTTACGTGATGTTTTGATATAAATTTTCTTTTCCCCTTCCCCCTTCCAGGCTTTATTTTAGCAGTTAACGTTCCTCCGTCTTTAATTCCATTTTCGTTTCATCCTATTTTGTTATTTTATCTTATTTTGATTAACTTAAAAAATGCTCCTAATTTATTTGTGAATTCCTTAGTTATGTATTGTTATGTATAACACAGATCTTAAGTGATTGGGCTGCGTTTTTAGTCTGTTAACTTCTGTGTTCGTCTGTACTCTACTTAGGACTACAGCAAGTGCTGTAAAGACCTCCCTGAACTTACTTAATTCTTCCTTCTAGTGCCACCAGTAACTCTCCTCTCCCCAGTGCCCCCAGTAACTCTCCTCTCCCCAGTGCCACCAGTAACTCTCCTCTATCCAGTGCCACCAGTAACTCTTCTCTCCCCAGTGCCACCAGTAACTCTGCCCTCCCCAGTGCCACCAGTAACTCTCCTCTATCCAGTGCCACCAGTAACTCTTCTCTCCCCAGTGCCACCAGTAACTCTCCTCTATCCAGTGCCACCAGTAACTCTTCTCTCCCCAGTGCCACCAGTAACTGTCCTCTCCCCAGTGCCACCAGTAACTCTCCTCTCCCCCAGTGCCACCAGTAACTCTCCTCTCCCCAGTTCCACAATAACTCTTCCTGCCCAAATGAACGACTAACCCGGAATTATAGTGTAATTCAAATATATTGTTAAGTTCTGCTGCTAATTTTTATGTCTCTATTAAAAGCAAAATTTCTGTGTGTGCTTGTGTGTGTGCGCGCCTCTATGCTCATCCGAGTGTCTCTGTGCTCAACCGAGTTTATCTGTGCTCACCCTTGTGTAATCGCACCTAAGTGAAATTACCTAAGTGTAGTTACAGGATAAGAGTTAAGCTCGAGGTGTTCCGTCTTCCCAGTACTATTTGTTGTGTAACGTTTTGACACTACTGACGGTTTTGTTGTAACAGTACAAGAAATTTCATTCATATATTCCCTGTTTGATACCCTGCAGGTGTTATTTTCAGTCAAATATTCCCTGTTTTACACCCTGTAGGTGTCAAATACGGGTGACTCACCTTTCTACCGCCACCCACTTGAGGGGCAATGACAGTGTGCGTGATAAACAAAATCAGATTATGAAACTAGCTCCCAGCATATGTAAGTTGTTTAACTTAAAGACTATACTTGTAATCGCTCGCGAATCCCATTGCAGATATGTACAGAGAAGCGTGTATCTGGCTTATCAAGACTATAACTTGCTTAGCAAAGGGAAAGTTGGGTTTCAATTCGTGTGCCCATTATATGGATCTGTAATATTTCTCCACTATCGCCTAAGGGATAGATATGAGGTCAACTTCCTCCCAGAAGATGGGTATTGGATCCACTACCTCCCCAGAAGATGGGTCCAGTACTTCCC